TCTATATGTAGCATAAAAGACACAAATAATGATGAAAGTTAACGCTTTAACTTTAATCACTCATGAAACATTATACTGTAATATTCAACAGTCTCCATCACCACCACCACTACCACTATCAAATGAAAGGGAATTATATTTGAAAGTATAAAATGTTAAGGTAATCACAGAACAATTTTTTTTTATATCTATTCATTAATGGTAAGGTCATACTGGTAATGATAATCATGAGTGCTAATTTTCTATTTCACATTTTCATCTAATCTTTGCTTTCCTTTGATTGGTCATTTATTAATTTCTTTTATGCTTCAAGGTCATATTTCTGTTATTATATAAGAGGTTTACCATCTCTCTGTTGGAATATCATGTCTTATTGTACCCTAATCTTCTTTATGTGTTCCTTTGTAATAGAGGATTATTGTTAAACTATGTATTAGTTGCCATTATATAAAGTCTTCGATAAACCTTATTCGTATTAAAATAACATCAGTGGTTCTGTATTAACAAGTAGCAATCTGAAGAAGCAACATGAAGAAAAGACGAAAAATTGGATCGTGTTTGAAAGTTCTTTATCTGATATACAGATATCAGTGTTACTATTTATAAAAGTATCAGAATGGGGTTTGTGGATATTATAGTAATTTGATAGTTGAGATCATGAGTCAATTGAAGCAAGACTACCATGGAAAACCTGGGGGCACTGAACGATCGTTTCGTCTAATTGTGGGACTCCCCAGTGGTGCACATCCACGATTCAGCCTCACGAGATTTGAACCTATGACCTATCAGTCTTGCGCGCAAACGCTTAACCACTAGGCCACTGAGTCGGCATCCAACGTTGTTACTGTCTAATCTCGACCAATCCATGAAATTGCGTCACCGTCCACTATTGTCTCAAGTGAATTACTATCTCACAACAGACCCGGTTGAACTCCACAAGTTGGTGCTTCTCACTAGAACTCCAATAAATATCTTTTGAAGCCAGTGACTAGTGAACATATGTTGATTAGTATCAGAATGTGTTTCATAGATATTATAGTAATCTTAGTTAAATCTGAGAGTCATACAATAATTTGTTCATTTACAAAATGTTAATCAATCATCTCAGACTTCATTGTTCTTTTGTTTCCATACCAAACATTCTTTGTTCTCGTTCTATTTTCTTTAATCTTCATTAACCTTCTGCATAGGGACATTTCACTTTTGATTGGTGATACATACTGCATGTATCTGTTGATATCAGTAGAACACGCCATAATATCTGTATTACAGACCAAGAGAAGTACCCCTTTTTCAAAGTTAGACTTGAATACAGAAAATATAAAAAAACTGAATAAATATTAAACAAGTTCTGTGTATTAATGAAGCAATTACTTGGTTGGTAGATTACATTTTATATTTGTACTCACATATATACTGTTTGGGCAGTTAACTAGTATATATACTTAGCTTTCGTACATTAAATACCACCCGTTTGTTTTTGATAGAGATCATGAACCGATTGATGTCAGATCACCAGTGAAAATTTGGATGCACTGGACGGCTGTTTCGTCCTATTATGGGGCTCCCCAGCAGTGCGCATCCACGATCCCACTTGCGAGGTTTGGACCCAGGCCCTTCATTCTTGCGCGCGAACGCTTAAGCTGTAGACCACTGAGCCGGCATCCAACGGTGTTAATGTCAAACCGCAACCGATCCACGAAATTGCGCGACCATCTTTGATTTATTGATTAACTAAGATTTATTCAGAATTTGACTAATTATTATCATGAGACAATAAAAGAAAGCTTTATGAAAATTTAACGAGATTTTTCCATTAAGTGTTTGAATTAACGCATGAAATCTACTGAAAACTTACTTACTTATGCCTGTTAACGCTCGTGGAGGAGCATATGTCACCCACACGCATTCTCCTTCCAAATTTGTCTTGGACAATCCTCTTTAGTTGTTCCCAGTTGCTCTTCATCGTTTTCATATCTACTTCTGATTCCCGATACAATGTGTTTATTGGTCTTCTTCTTTTCCGTTTCCTCTCAAGATTTCAAGTTGGCTCTTGCTCCGTGATACAGTTTGATCATTTTCGCACACAGGTTTTGTAGGGTTACTACTAGTCTCATGTCCAGGTAAAACAAGAGGGTTAGCTTTGAAAAACCCATCGCATAGAAAACAATCTTGCTATAACAGTGTTAATCAAAATAAAAAATTCAAACTACTTAAACTTTGCCCTGGTAGTTGAATGATCATTATTCACAAGAATTATCACACCTCATTGTTATTCTTCGAAAGTCACGAAGACGATGTCTTTTCTAACAATCAGAGCAACAATTATTATAGATACATGGAATGTTCGGACAATGTGGGATACCGGGAGGACCACTCAAATCGTTTCGGAAACGAGATGATACAACTTGACAGTGCTCTGAATAAGTGAAACCCTTCGGATTCAAGCAGCTGTACTCCGATCATGAAGATGAAAATACTCCTTATATACAAGGAGTTACTTTGACGCTGTCCAGAGTAGCACATAAAGCATTTATAAATCTACTGAAAATAGTTTAATTAAATTTCATGTGGTAAACTTGAAAATTTGTCAGTAATCTTTTGATTCATCCGAAAAACACAGAAAAAAAAGTTTTTTTTTAATCTATGCAATACAATACTCAGAAGAAGATTAATGTGTCAGTATTTAATTAGAAACTAGTCTGACATTTGTTAAAAACTAAGCTTAACTTTAATAGAACATATCCATATTGACAGTTCTAATATCGTTTCAGTAGATAGACTGGAAATCTTTTTAATGCCTAGGTAACAATGAATATGTGACTAGATAAAGGAACTGATTAATCACCAACCTACTTTCATCTACTAAACGGCTTGAAAAATTTTTCTTTCTGGTTAGCGTGTTTTTAGCGGGTTAATTTTCTATGGGATGGGGTCACTAACCCCATGCCCAACCCTCCTCCTTTATCCGGGCTTGGGATCGGCAGTAGGCGTCGGAGGGACTTCAGGCGGAGTTGGAGAATGCTGATCGGCTGCCTATGCTCCATTCGGAGTAACAGGCTTAAGTAAGTAAGTACTTTCATCTACTGAAAGATTTAATTCACAGATTTGTGTTGTTGTTTTCTTTTTCTATTCACTTTCATACAAATGAGTTAATATTTGAATTGTATTCAAGATGAATATTATTGTGTTATTTAAATGACTGAGTTATCTTGTTGTTGATATGGAGGAGTGGAATTCAAACTTCGGATACGATAACTCATTGGATAATCTGTTAGGTCAAATGTAATGAAAGGCAATGGGTTCGAGTCTCTATGTGAACATCATTGTTTAAATTAAGGTGTGTAGAGCTGGTGAATCCCCACTGTGACGAAACACGCTTTCGGAATCTTTCTATTAACTACATAACTTCTAATAAAGTTTTATGTCACGTGTTACGACAAAAATTTAACTGAGACTATTTCTGAAAATGTCCCAATCTACGTAAGTAGTAAAATATTATATCACGATAATCTGTAAATGACTTATACTGTATCCGAAACAAAACGAAAAATTTCGGGGATATGCTTAATAAACATTACTTTAGAAATTCAAAGCATTTGTGAACTGAACGGTAAACAGCAAACTACAAAAGATGATGAATAGTCTTCCTTACAAATTTTTCTAACTCTCATTAAATCATTGGATTAATTGAAGTTAAACATTAACACCGTTGTATACCAGTCAGCTCAGTGGTCTAGTGGTTAAACGCTCGCACGCGAGACTGATAGGTTCTGGGTTCGAATCTCGCGGGGGGCGAGATGGTGGATGCGCACCGTTAAAGAGTCCCACAATAGGACGAAACAGGCTTCCAGCGCTTCCAGGTTTTCCATTGTGGTCTAGCTTCAACTGACTCATGATCTCAACCATTGAAATTAGTATAATATCCACAAAACCCCTTCTGATATAAATTATTTTCAACCTGAAGAGAACAAATGGTTTATTGTTTTATCATTCTTTAAATAGATCTTAGAATTGTACAATGATATTTGTAAATGAAGACTTGATGACGAAAAACAATTCATTATTTTATGCAAGATCAAAGATATAAGAGACTGATCAATTGCAGTTCCAAACAACAATGGGAAGATATAAGTAAGCAAAAATTGCACAAGTAATTGCCTATCAGGACTCAGTAACTAAGTAAATAACGTGATGGCGTTTGAAGTGAAAAGTACTGGATCCCAGTTTCAAAGTGAACATCGACTCCGAAATGCAAGTATATCCAGCTTACAAGTTATAAATAGAATGAAACGTTTGTCAAACTAAATTCCACTGCTAGCCATTATCCATTTTTGTTTACAATCATAATAGTTTTGTCTTATTTCAATATTCTATCATTCTTCCAATGTTGATATTATTCTGATGGTTCATTGTTTTCCTTTCTGTTCACTTAATTTCACTCTTCTGCTAGTAAGGATTTCATTTTCAATTCATGCTATATACTACTTATATTAACCCGTATATGTTTTTGATGGGGTTTTGTTCTCTAAGCGTAAACTTCAAGTAGAAATCTACCTATCATTTAGAAGAACGATGAAAGCTTGACGACCAAACTATCCAATTTAGATAACAAAACTCCATTAAAATCATTTACCTGACCTATAAATCTTCTCCATCATCTTAAAATTCGTATAAGTAATATACATGACAAAAGTACAATTATCAATTGAATACATTAATTCTAAATGAACTCTTCTTCTTGATGTTTGTTACTAAGTAATACCCTATATCATACTTATCTAATACTTTTAATATGGATCAAATTCTATCGATTAGGTTACACAATATCCTGATAAAACTTGATCAATCTTTCAAAAAATTATTTAACAATGAACACATTTCAAAAGAAAAAAAAATGAGTAAAATTCTAACTTCTGTAAAACTTTCATTTAACCATCCTTACAATTTACATCATTAACAAGAACTCATTAACCATGAAGGTTTTTTTTTTATTTTTTAGTTTACAAGGATGATTTCACACTAATTATATTTGATAATCGTTCAGCAACCACAACAACAACAACAACAACAACAACAGCAACAACAAAGAGGTAAAGAAAAGAGAACATATTCAATTATGTCATCATGTATCCATATCTATATCTATCTATATATATATATGTGCGTGTGTGTGTGTTTGTGCGTGGGACTACTTACTTATATACACTTTATACATTTAAATATTTAAATGTGAAATTACCACTTCAAGTAAACCACCTTAATAATCAGTTTGTTTAATATATTATTTCTTTAACCAATCGGAGATTATATTTTATTTTCTATTATTGAAGCATACAAACACAATTAGTTCTGTGACAACATGACTATATATATATATATATAAGTATATATAAGTAGTTAAATATAAACAAATGAGACTACATTATTGAAACAAACCATTTCAATCTACAGTAACTATTTCAGCTCAGTGAAATCTCATTTCAAAGTTTATTACATAATTCTATTTTGGTTTTGGTTTGTTTTTTTTAAAAAAAAGAACAAATAAACAATAAACAATTTTGAAGGATTCGAACAAGGATCACAATGAATTATTTTATAACTACATCAGTATTTATTTTATTCATTGGTAGGTATATAAATAAATAATTGATATATTGAATTGTAATGTTTTTGTAATACAATTTATTTATTTCATTTATGATATTGGTTGTTTTAAATTATATATGATGGTCTTAGTATAATAAAGAATTCTCTGGAAAGAAAATGACACTTCAACACATTTCTGTTTGCTTACATCTTGGTTGATCTTGACGATATAACATTAATTGATCTGCAATTAGAAGTTGGAATATCACAAATCGACATCTAAATAATTTACATTCCTTTCGCTGTATATTGTCAGCAATCACAATATCTTTGATTGGGCGCTTTATTCAATATGATAGTCTTGGTATAATATAAGAATTTTCAGTACAAAGCATTTCAACACATTAACATTCTTCATTCAACTTTGTCCTAGGCAGTCCTTTCCAGTTGGTATTCATACTTTATTCTTATTCTTATTATTATTATTATTATCATCGGCCTATGCTCCTTCACGAGGAGTAACAGGCGTAAGTAAGTAAGTAAGTTTATTCAATATTATAGACTTGGTATAATATAGAATTCTCAATACAAAATACTGTAACAAGTTTGTGTTTGCTAACTTCTTGATCGATCTTAACGATAAATATTGAGTAGTCGACAGTTAGAAGTTGGCATTTCAGGAAATGACATCTGAATAATATTCATTGAAATGAATGAATATTAGTATTCATTAAGTTGTTTTTGATTGTGTTATTATTTTTCAATTTTTATTGATTCATAGGTTGATGATGACTAGAACGTATTTATTTACTTACGCCTGTTACCCCTAGTAGATGAGCATAGACTGCTCACTAGCATTCTTCATCCAACTTTGTCCTAGACAATCCTTTCCAGTTGCTATTCATACTTTATTCTTATTATTATTAATGCCTCTATTCAGTAATATAGACTTGGTATAATATAGAATTCTCAGCACAAAGTAATTCAACACATTTCTGTTTGCTTACTTGTTGATCGATCTTGATGATAAATATTGAGTGGTTGTCAGTTAGATGTTAGCGGTACAGTCAATCGACATCTGAATAATGTTCATTCAAATCAATGAATATTATTATTTATCAAGATGTCTCTGATTTTACCTTGATATAATTTATACAACGAAAGGTTGTACACATTTCAATATGACATCTGAATAGATTATGTGATTAATAGACAAATAACTTGTTGAAATATCTATATGTCAGTAATAAAAAGTATGTTAGTTTCCAAAAAGAAATACCTAGAATATTTCCGGATATAGCGGTTCCTTCATGATATCAATCTATATAAATATTATTGAATTGTCGATAGTAAACTATATTGTGATATTATTCATCAATCTTCCTTGTTCTCGTTATTTTCTGGTTAGCGTATTTTTTTGAGCGAGTTAGTTTTCTACGGGTAGGTGTCGCTAACCACATGCCCAAACTTATTCCTTTATTTGGGCTTGTGACCAACATTAGCTCTAGAGGGGCTGCAGGAGGAATTAATCTTTCTTGTTCACCAAATACATATTGTTCTGTGTTCAGTGTCTTTATGTATATCAATATAGTTTGAAGATGACTTTGACTTGGTAGACACAAATCATTAATTGAGATCAAGAACCGATTGATGTTAGACCACCATTGAATACATGAATGCACTGGACGGCTGTTTTATCCTCTAATGGGGCTCCGAACCTAGGGTCTTCAGTCTCGCAAGCGAACGCTCAACCTCTAGACCACTGAGTTGGCCTGAATCCATTAGTGTTAATGTATAACCTCAACCAATCCGTGAAATTCTGTGACCATCTTCCATTGTACTGTGGTAGACACCTAACACTACCCGAACACGGATTAGATCCACTGGTCATGGCTTCTCGCTAAAACTCTGAGAAATCCCTCACGAAACTAATTACTAATGATCTTAATTAATAATTTAATAATCTTCATAACTCTATACTGATAAAAATGATTTAAACTTATAATGATTATTGTACGGTAATTTTAATTTAATCAATAATTACATAATAATTGTCCTTCATTAGTTTCCTATTCAAAATTCCCTATGTATAGTTAACTAGCTTCTTTTTCCTTCAATTACTAAATGAAATCTTATCGCTATGTGCTGACAACATTCATTAACTTACTGAATTCAATAACATCGTATAGTAATTTTTTTTAACTTAGCGATAATGAAACAGATAAACGATTAAGAAAATAAACAAACAACAGTTGGAATCCTCAACAACTGAGATTCGACTAAGATGCCAGTATGTATTCACAGTTCATTTTATTTGACGAGTGTTTAACAACAGTCAATAGCTTAACATCAAATATGGTAGTACAAAAAGTTGATGTACCGTATTTTACGATTCTATCTATATTTTGTCAGTGAATAAGTGTATTTTGTTCCTAATAAACAAAAGTATGTAAATCTATTTAATGAAATCAACGATACTTAATTAGTTAATTACCTATCCCTGTAACGACTCATAGAGTATAGGCTGCAGATCAGAATTATACAACAAACTCTAGTCTAGATTCTCCTATTCAGTTGTTCCTAAATGCTATTCAATCCTCTGGTGTCTGTCTCTAACTCTGAACGAAATATGTTCTTTAACCTGCCTCTCTTCTTTTTACCTTCAGGATTCCAAGTTACAGCTTACTTGCGATTTAGTTTGATGATTTACACAATACGTGTTCTGTCCTCCTCCAGAGTCTTTTCTTAATTTCCTTTTCAGTCAACATTTGGTTTGTTCTATGCCACAGCACGTTGTTGCTGATGATGTTCAACCAACGGATCTGAAGTATTTTGCATAGACAATTATCTATATATACCTGCTCCTTGTTGATGATTTTCGTAATTCCCCAAATTTCAGCTCTGTACAATAGAGCTGTCGTGACGTTTTTTTTGGAAATTCTGGCTTTGGTGTTATGTGACGGTTGTTTTGATTTCGAAATATCCTTTAATTATGGGAATGCTATCCTTGCCTTGCCAATCCATGCATTCACATGTGTATCAGATCCTGCTAGTTTATCAATGATGCTGCCTATGTAACTAGAGCTTTCGACCTCACTTAGTGCTTCTCCATCAATTGTGATTTGATTGATGATCTTTCTTTTGCATTTTAGGATCTTGCTTTTACCCTCGTGTATGTTGAGGCTTATTTCTGCAGAGACTTGTGCTACAATGGCTAGGTATCTGCAAAATGTAAATTATCTAGTTACATTCAAGCTGTCCATTCTATCTCGTTCTTCCTCTCAGATGTGGTCTTCATAAATCAGTCAACCATTAGAAGAGAGGGAGAAAAAACGATAATAAGCAACGGTATCTGACATCGGTCTACACTTGGACTGCATCTATGAGCTGCTGTCCATTCCCGACTTACCTTAATAGTTACATTGAATATTTGTGAATACTCGCAAACCCATTGATATGATTTAAATACTCTTAAAAGAAGAGAGTATTAATAATAATCTTAATAATTAAGCTAATTCATTTTCTTTACTGATAATGGTTAACATTCTTATTAAATTCACTTGTTATTTAGCTTTCGACATTAAACTATTTTAATAGTTGTGATCCGGAGTCAATTGAAGCTAGACCACTGTGGAAAACCTAGAAGCACTAGATAGCCGTTTCGTCCTATTATGGGACTCCTCAACAGTGCGCATCCACAATCCCGCCTCACAAGATTCAAACCCATGTCCTATCGGTCTTGCACGCGAACGCCTCACCTCTAGACCACTAAACTGGCTAGCATTCAACGGTGTTAATGTCTAACTTTAATCAATCCACGAAATTGAATGACGCATCCACCATTAGTCAGTGCTTCTCACTAGAACTCCAGGAAATAACCTTTTGATACAGTCACTAGTAAGCATATGTTGATTCGTATCAGAAAGAGTCCCATAATACGACAAAACATCTATCCAATGTTTCCATATATAATATCCACAAAAACCCCTTCTGTTATTAATTAAAATGTATATTTTTTTTTAAATTTTAAATTCATTAAAGAAATGGAACAAAATTAATCGATGTTGTCAAAGTAACTTGAATCACTTAGTGACATAATGTAATCATTAATAGATGAGATTTAAATAAGATTAAAAATTGTCCAAATTTAATTGTAAAAAAAAATTTGTTTGTTTTTTTTTAAAAAAAAAAAATTATGTCACATCTAGTTTTGTTTTAAAATAAATTACGTTTCTTTATTAAATTCAGTCTGTTTATGAAATAGATGTGTTATATTCCGATAAGTATAATGAATGGTAACTGTTGGGATCAATTTATCGACCAATACGGCATATATATTCTTTTTGTGTTATTATTAAGTAGTATCACTATGCATATTCATGTTCCTTATATTATAAGCTTTGTTTTGATTCATAAAGTAATATTATACGATTTACCATTCTTGAGTTATTCCCAGTTGATTAACTACAGTCTCTTGCATTCACAGTTACATATGGCTAATTCTTGTATAAATGTTGTTTTCTATTTTATGGTACGATATGGTCTGTTCGGTTAGTATACATAAACCCACTATGTTTTAAATACATGATTCATATCGTGGAGGCTGAGATTGGTGTTCTGGATTCAACAGACAGGAAGAAGGACCGATAAAGACTCTAGACTGCTCGTACAGGCTTTATGCGTCATTGGTTCGGTTGATGAATCAATGTTCTCTAATTGGCGGTATCATTACATTATATTATTGATAATGCACAAAGTCACAAGATATAACAACATATAATACTTCATAACATCGATTGATGGTTCGCATATCTTTTTACATTTAATTTAGTACGAACTTCACTAGTAATGATATTGGTGAACTCTTTAAGGTGGATCATCTAATTATTCAGCTTTCATTGTCGTTCTGGACAACATCATCAGCATTCACTTCATTTAGAATTAAGTTTTTTTTCATGTAGTGTCTTGTAGAAATCCTAATGTACGACTGTTTGTTACGACTGTGGAAAAGTTTTCACTTGCTGCTTGTTCAACAGAACA